GTCGCCTGTCGTCAGTGACTGGCGTTGACAGCGAACGTAGATATTGAACAAACTGAAATCAAAGCGTGTAGTATGAGGTATAATTCTGCCGACAATTTATAACGTGCTGTAATGGACAGGGCACGTTTTGTGGATTCCATTGCTGTGCCAATCTAACGACTTGGGTGACAAACATACCACGTCATTTACTTCATTGGACTGTGTTCTTCTTTTGATTACATCTAGCTGTGCGTTAGAGGTCTGCGGTAAGTGTATGGAGGTTACGATCGTATCTTGTTAGGGATGTTTATTGGGTCGACCTTGGTAATTTAAACAGCAGTTCTCTCGCGTGTATTGTGCTTGTCACTACAGAATGTTTTTGCCGAAATCCAGATATATCTAGTATTTGTGGCCCTTAAAGTCAACGTTTCTTATTAATCTGTCTTACTGTAATGTCTACTGTTTCTTCGACATCATTCCTACTGTTGTACATAGTATTATTACACCTTTATCTCTAGTTTTGCTGTACCATATGTATTCGTGAACTTCTATTTTCCTGTTGTTTTATCAATATCCCTAGTGTTGTTGTATCAATATCCCTAGTGTTGTTGTATCAATATCCCTAGTGTTGTTGTATCAATGTCCCTAGTGTTGTTGTATCAATATCCCTAGTGTTGTTGTATCAATGTCCCTAGTGTTGTTGTATCAATGTCCCTAGTAATGTTGTATCAATATCCCTAGTGTTGTTGTATCAATATCCCTAGTGTTGTTGTATCAATATCCCCTAGTGTTGTTGTATCAATATCCCTAGTGTTGTATTTCAATATTCCCCATGTTGTTGTATCAATATCCCCTAGTGTTGTTGTATCAATATCCCTAGTGTTGTTGTATCAATGTCAATGTCCCTGATGTTGTTGTATCAATATCCCTAGTGTTGTTGTATCAATATCCCTAAAGTTGTTGTATCACTATCCCTAGTGTTGTTGTATCAATGTCCCTGATGTTGTTGTATCAATATCCCTAGTAATGTTGTATCAATATCCCCCGTGTTGTTGTATCAATATCCCTAGTGTTGTTGTATCAATATCCCTAGTGTTGTTGTATCAATGCCCCTAGTGTTGTTGTATCAATATCCCTAGTGTTGTTGTATCAATATCCCTAGTGTTGTTGTATCAATATCACCCGTGTTGTTGTATCAATATCCCTAGTGTTGTTGTATCAATATCCCTAGTGTTGTTGTATCAATATCCCTAGTAATGTTGTATCAATATCCCTAGTGTTGTTGTATCAATATCCCTAGTGTTGTTGTATCAATATCCCTAGTGTTGTTGTATCAATATCCCTAGTGTTGTTGTATCAATATCCCTAAAGTTGTTGTATCACTATCCCTAGTGTTGTTGTATGAATATCCCCCCGTGTTGTTGTATCAATATCCCTAGTGTTGTTGTATCAATATCCCTAGTGTTGTTGTATCAATGCCCCTAGTGTTGTTGTATCAATATCCCTAGTGTTGTTGTATCAATATCCCTATGTTGTTGTATCAATATCCCCTAGTGTTGTTGTATCAATATCCCTAGTGTTGTTGTATCAATATCCCTAGTGTTGTTGTATCAATATTCCCCATGTTGTTGTATCAATATCCCCTAGTGCTGTTGTATCAATATCCCTAGTGTTGTATCAATATCCCTAGTTGTTGTTGTCCCTGTGTTGTTGTATCAATATCCCTAGTGTTGTTGTATCAATGTCCCCAGTGTTATTGTATCAATATCCCTAGTGTTGTTGTATCAATGTCCCTAGTGTTGTTGTATCAATATCCCTAGTGTTGATGTATCAATATCCCCCGTGTTGTTGTATCAATATACCTAGTGTTGTTGTATCAATATCCCTAGTGTTGTTGTATCAATGTCCCTGGTGTTGTTGTATCAATATCCCTAGTGTTGTTGTATCAATATCCCCCGTGTTGTTGTATCACTATCCCTAGTGTTGTTGTATCAATATCCCTAGTGTTGTTATCAATATCCCTAGTTTGTTGTATCAATATCCCTATGTTGTTGTATCAATATCCCTAGTGTTGTTGTATCAATATCCCTAGTGTTGTTGTATCAATATCCCTAGTGTTGTTGTATCAATATCCCTAGTGTTGTTGTATCAATATCCCCCGTGTTGTTGTATCAATATCCCTAGTGTTGTTGTATCAATGTCCTTAGTGTTGTTGTATCAATATCCACCGTGTTGTTGTATCAATATCCCTAGTGTTGTTGTATCAATATCTCCCTAGTGTTGTTGTATCAATATCCCTAGTGTTGTTGTATCAATATCCCTAGTGTTGTTGTATCAATATCTCCCTAATGTTGTGTATCATTATCCCTAGTATTATTGTATCAATATCCCTAGTGTTGTTGTATCAATATCCCTAGTGTTGTTGTATCAATATCCCCGTGTTGTTGTATCAATATCCCTGATGTTGTTGTATCAATATCCCTAGTGTTGTTGTTTCAATATCCCTAGTGTTGTATCAATATCCCTAGTGTTGTTGTATCAATGTCCCTAGTGTTGTTGTATCAATGTCCCTAGTGTTGTTGTATCAATGTCCCTAGTGTTGTTGTATCAATATCCCTAGTGTTGTTGTATCAATATCCCTAGTGTTGTTGTATCAATATCCCTAGTGTTGTTGTATCAATATCCCTAGTGTTGTTGTATCAATATCCCTAGTGTTGTTGTATGAATATCCCCCCGTGTTGTTGTATCACTATCCCTAGTGTTGTTGTATCAATATACCTAGTGTTGTTGTATCAATATCCCTAGTGTTGTTGTATCAATATCCCTAGTGCTGTTGTATCAATGTCCCTGTTGTTGTTGTATCAATGTCCCTAGTAATGTTGTATCAATATCCCTAGTGTTGTTGTATCAATGTCCCTAGTGTTGTTGTATCACTATCCCTAGTGTTGTTGTATCAATATCACCCGTGTTGTTGTATCAATATCCCTAGTGTTGTTGTATCAATGTCCCTAGTGTTGTTGTATCAATATCCCTAGTGTTGTTGTATCAATATCCCTAGTGTTGTTGTATCAATATCCCTAGTGTTGTTGTATCAATATACCTAGTGTTGTTGTATCAATATCCCTAGTGTTGTTTTATCAATATCCTTAGTGTTGTTGTTTCAATATCCCCAGTGTTGTTGTATCAATGTCCCTGGTGTTGTTGTATCAATATCCCTAGTGTTGTTGTATCAATATCCCCCGTGTTGTTGTATCAATATCCCTAGTGTTGTTGTATCAATGTCCTTAGTGTTGTTGTATCAAGATCCACCGTGTTGTTGTATCAATATCCCTAGTGTTGTTGTATCAATGCCCCTAGTGTTGTTGTATCAATGTCCCTAGTGTTGTTGTATCAATATCCCTAGTGTTGTTGTATCAATATCCCTAGTGTTGTTGTATCAATGTCCCTGGTGTTGTTGTATCAATGTCCCTAGTGTTGTTGTATCAATATCCCCTAGTGTTGTTGTATCAATATTCCCCGTGTTGTGTTATCACTATCCATAGTGTTGAGAGGGAGGCCATAAGTGTCAAAGAGACTCAAATTACAAGAAAAAACTTCTCAACACCCGGATATTGAAGAATCAAATATACTTCATGGATGGATGCATCTTTAGTTGCTTTACCAAAATGTGAATTTCATGGCCCCAGGGTCTCATGTTTCACCGCGGGGAGGGGGTAAAGATTACCATGGTTTATATAGGAAAAATAATTTTGAGCATAATTTGTTTAATTTCCATTTGAAATTTTTAAATATTTCAAACTTGTTTACAATTATGAGCGAGGGATGACGGTTAGACGATATGAATGGAGGGGTCAGATTTACTTAAAGTTCAAAACTCTTCTCAAAAAGCCAAGAATGATAGAATCAAATGCTCTTCGTGGATGGGAGTATAATCTTAAGGCACTTCAATCACCAGCATGGGTCTCACGTTTCTTGCTTGGGAGGAGGTAAACTTAACTGTATTTTTATTGTAAATTTGGATGACAGTTTTGATAGTATGCAGCTATTGACATTGGCTTACTATCATCAATAGTACAATTTCTGTTTCATGGCACTTGACAGCTACTTACCCTTTAACCTTTATATTCAATGTTGCTTATTTCAGGTGACCATCAAGGCCGCTAGGACTCTTGTTGTTGCGTTGTCCTTCCATTCGTTCGTCCGTTTGTCCGTTCGTCCATTCGTCATAATTTTGTCCAGAGCATATCACAAAAACTATAAGAGGTGTCAACATGAAACTAGACAGAACTCGATAAGGATAAGTGCAGTGTAAAAAACCATTACATTCTCTTGTATGATTTAAAAATTTACCCTTTTGGAACTAACGTTAATTCGAACATCAATTGGTTCTAAAAGTTATTTTGTTTACTTGATTTCATCATCATCATCATCATCATCATCATCATCATCATCATCATCATCATCATCATCGTCGTCGTCGTCGTCGTCGTCGTCATCGTCGTCGTCGTCGTTGTCAAGGTACCGACCACTTTTTAAGACAGAGTGATGTTTTGTTCTCAGTAAGGAACGTGACATTACCTACTTAGTTGACCAAGAATTACACGGCTGGTGTCGCCAATGAAGCAGAAGACGCTTACTCTTCTGGAACTCGTGTTCCTATTCTGTTTGAACTTTTTTCAGTAGTTTCCGTGTAAATATATTAGTTTTGTTTATATCCTAACCTTCCCTTATTGAATTTGAAATAAGATTCTGTTGACATGTTGTTTTCTTTGTTATTTTACATTTTTTATTTAATACATCAGTACTTTTGTCATATTTTGAATTATAGGAACACCTTTGGTTGATAGGAATATTATCGCAGATTTCTATGGTGGAATTTTACTTATTTCTTCATGTTGTTTCAGTATCATTTTGTTTTATTTGTCCGTTTCTCATTTCCGTCATTTCCTCAGTCATTCGTTAGATAGTATTAAACCGCTTATATTTGTTTTAAAATATCGTATTTTATTCATTTCAGAAATATGATGGACTTCACGAGTAACCTGCGCTTGCGCATTCGAACAAACAATCATACAATGGAAGCTGTGGTTGAAACCATTCGGAAGAGTGATTCGGATGATATCGGAGCTCTTTATTATGTTGTAGCCGTTGTGTTTATCTATGGTTTTTCAATAGTGATGATGATCGCGTCGCATATTCGTAAAAATAAGCAGGACAACCAGCTTCGGGTCTACTTAAAGGAAATGGCGGTGCTACGCAAAAACGATAGGAGGGAAAAGCTGGTAGGCACAATCTCCAGTTTCACTACAAAGAAGAATACTTTCGCAGAGGAATTTGAAAAAAAGAAAATACCAACAAAATTGATTGAGGGAGTGAATGAGGAGAGACAGGAGTTGCTTTTTCGTGCAAACAGTGCAAGTGATGAGACGAATGATTCGGGATTGCAGCTGAATTATGACGAAGATACAGAGTCTCCTCCCAAAACATGTGAAAGTCAGACCTCCAAGCAAGGCTCTGTGTTGGTACACGTGATAAACGAACAGACCTCGTTATGATTTCGCCGTGTACATTACAAAATATAACGGTAATTGTGATTTTTTTTATCTTTTTCTTTATTTCTGGGTTTATTTCCCCGTGAACAGCCAATGTGATTTTTGATGCGAAGTTACGTAGTGGTAGCTGGTGGCTACCTCACTGAATAACATACAGAAGGCCCGTCGCAAGCTTGTACAAAGCAGTCAGGGTTAAGTGTTTTGCGCATGTGTCAACCACTTCAGCACAGACAGACTGGTCCGTTTCTCAGCTTTCTAAGAAGTAAAAACCCTTTTCGTTTGAACGCGATAATTATCAAACTTTAAAAATTAATTATAACGAACTAAAACGTAGTTGCCTTGTTTAAACGACTAAGTTACCTTTTCAAACCTGTTATTTTGTTAAAACGTAGTATTTATTTGGTGGAAACGACGTAGCTGTCTTGTTAAAACAAGTCACGTGTCTCGATAAAACGTGCCAATGATCTTATTGCGGTCTAACGAGACAAATAACAAGTGTTAAAGTCACGGCAAACATGAACACTGGAGTAAGGGAGTTAACTCGGAGATATCAAAAGAGATTAGTGTGAAAAATAGCATGATCAGTAAGTGTGCGTTTTACTTCAAAAGTTAATTGACGACGCCCAAAATCTGAAATGGTGCTACATTCAGCTAAGAAAAATATTATCAATATGCCTGTTGTTAATTGCAAAACTGTTTTTCTTTTTTTTGTATTCAATCAAATGCATTTAGTCTAACGAGATGAAAAACGACATTGCTACCCTTAAAATAATCCTTCATCATTGTAGACAGTGTTTAAAGTAATCGATGACAGGCAGGATATTATCATATGAAAGGCTTGTTTCCTTTGTAATGGTGTTAAATACCACGTGACTAATTATCATATAAGTATTGTTATGTTAATCAATGTTTGTATAATTGTGTAATGGATCCGGTGTTCTCTTTTGATTTAATCAATCAGTCAATCAATTCTTTTATTCTTCGGTAAAGAGATTTGTACGATAGAGAAACATAAAAAAAATGTGCAAAAGTTAGATAATCTTATGTGATACTAGGTAGAGTAATATATTGTAAAACAGTGTAACTTATATACACAATCTGTGGAGAGTTTGTCATTAATTACGGAAACTCATAAGTACTTTTTTGTAGTGTATTTGTGTACCGTATCGGTGAATGTGATAACTATGTGTTTAACCATCGCCGAGAGAATCTCTTCAATGTACACAGATTCGTCAACTACACAGTTTCTATTATGCCAATATGCCTCCGTACTTCAACAGAGTGAGACACCATGTATATTACCTTTTTAATAATGAATTCCTCAAAACATACTCGATGTAAGATATTATATAACTGAATGTGTTGATCAGACTACATGAAAATATCAGGAGTTTGATCATTTCCAATCGATATGTTGTTTACATGTTTACTATATTTTGTAATGCTATGTACAACTTGCAAAAATAAATATATTTCATATAATAACAATTTCCTGTGATATATCTAACACTATAAGTCAATTACAATGATATTCAAACATCCAGTAATGATACTGGTAACAATACGGTGGAACACAGTAAGAACATCTACATCAGATTAGACGGTCGATTAGCGTAGTCATGGTTAAATGATAGATCGATATCATCGATACTACAAAATCGATCAATTTTATCCTGACCATGAATACGTGAAAGTCTTATATTATATTATTGAGTTTAGTTTAAACATATTATATTGTTTCTAAAATAAGCAAGATGACTGGGTTAGGACAATTTATAGAAACCCTCTTCTCTACAATTTAATTAACAATGTGACTTTAACAATAGATATATATATGTGTGTGTGTGTGTGTGTGTGTTTTATACGAGAGAACGAAGAAACAGGTTGAAAGTGCAGCGAAATGGCAAGAATGTTATACCACAATTCTCATCATGTACAACAATATGTATTACATAGTCATATATAACATGTAACAGATATGTCTGTCTTATACTAACTACACATTCCAGTCATTTCGTCTGTTCAAATTGTCCATATATAGGCTCGTACCAAATAACCATGCTAAAATGTACATTCGCGCTCCTCTTAAGTGTCGTTTCATTGTGCCAGTCAGGAAAGAATATACATCTTGTATACTTTGTCTTACAAAAAAAATAATAATAATAATAAACCACTTATGACACGTCTTTCTAGAAAGGGATGTGATAGGACTGGGTGTAGGTTTGGTAGAAACACAGGGAATGAAAGGATAGACAGTAAGATAATCTCACCTGCTCTGCAAGACTAAATTAAAATCTATGGCTACCGGATTTGAATATGATTGAGTTGTGAAATATCTTTTATTGCAATCTACTTATATCCATTAAATCTACTGTTTAATTACATCGTTTTCAATGGCTGTCATTTTAATTTCGTTGGGTTGTCAAACGAACTTGTAAGCCAAGCTCACACAAAATGGCGCGGTCCGCCGTAGCGAGTCTCTAGAAAACCACAAGAATCAAGTACCTTATGAATGTTCCTTCCCTTGGACTAGTTATATGCTGCCTCAGCCATCAAATAAAAAATTCTAAAGAATATGTTATTAACAAATCGCTTTCACTAATTGAATTTTCACTTTATGGTTTAAATGATACACGTAAGCTCCAAACATGTAAATAATGATGTCATTTTCCATGTGTCGTTTCTTTTGGTTCTAAATTAAGTTTCAACTTGAGTGATGGATTTGTGTAACCTTATCTCAACACTCAAACGGTAAATCACACACCGATGCAGTAAACGAACTTTATGAGAGTTTCTTAACAATTCAAACAGGCGGATTCCGATCCAAGGGGGATAACTCTAACGACATTGAGCAAACTTTTCCCATTCAACCGGCATACAAGCTAAGGATATTGTTGCTTTTTCGAAGACGCTGTATATGCAAACTAAATATTTTATACCGGACAAATTTGAAGAATTATACGGTACTTTTAGCTCTGTTTGAGATATAAAGATGTCACTTAAGGAAACACTTGCATACGAATTATTGGTCAATAAGGAAGAAAAGTTGAGATTTATTGGCAGACAGTTGAGTGCTTATTTATAGGTTACAAGATACATAAAAGAAAATCGCCGGTTTATGTGCTATTATGAAAATCAAAAACCATATCAAGCATGTTTTGAAAGACGGGAAGGTAATAATAGTAAAACAATATCACCCCGTATATTATTATTGTTGTCAGGAGGAAACTAGCATTAAATATTACAGGATGATTAAAGATTATATCAAACTTCATATGTTTAACGTAATAAAGTAAACTTGGTTTAAATATTTACCTCAGTCGCATACGAACTTCTTTTATAATAATAATAATGATAAATGACTTTATTTAAGAGTTAAGATTACAGCACCACATATGATATAAAAATCACAAATATCACAGTAAACTAGCATAATCATGAAGGACTAAGATGTACATCAATAAAACAAATGTAATGATAAAGGCACATTGTGAAGAGGTATATAAAATGGTTATAGAGTGACTAATAATATAATAAAAGGGATAAAGGACTGATAATTAAAACAATTAATTGGCAACATTCATAAAGGTACCATATTATCTTAGGGCTAAAATAAGACTGGCATAAAAATGTGGATCTAGGGTGGTAAATTGGAGATGAATTTTTTACAATGAAATTTAAAAGTTGGTAAGGTTCCATATTGTCTGATATTTTCTGGAAGCTGATTCCACAAAGTTGGCCCAGTATACAGGAAGGAATTTTTAAACTTTTCAGTTTTGTGTTTAGGTATGATATAGTTACCAGCAGTAGATGCCCTAGTTTGTATACTGTGTACACTGGACACAAGCATATTACAGTCCAAGTAGTTTGGATACAGTTTGTTAGCTACTTTATACATTAGTATACAATAATTGTAGTTCACTCTTTTGCTAAAAGGTAACCATTTGAGTTTGGTGAATATTTCATCCCCTGATACAGAGTAGTCAGCATCCATAATTATACGTAAAACTCTTTTTTGTAATCTTTCTAGCTTTTTAATATATGTCTGAGAACAATGTCCCCAAATATTTTAACAATAATCTAGGTAAGGTAGAATGAAACAATTGAAATAGGTGATTCTTGATGAAACAGGTAAGAACTTTTTAATTCTGCATAACTGATATATTTTGAAATTGACCATTTTGATGACATCCTGGACATGTTTGTTCCAAGTAAGGGTATCATCAATACACACACCTAAGAGTTTTTCCATGTTTAACATTTTCCAACGTAAGATCACTAGAATCAGTACATTCAATACATAATTCCTTTGATTTTTTTCCTGTTTACTGCCTACAAGAATAACTTTGGTTTTGTCTGTATTTATAACCATTTTGTTTGTTTTACACCAGTTTTTCACATTTACAAAGTCAGTGCGCAAACAATATGATATGTTTCCAATTGAACAAGATTGAATGATGACGGGCGCTTCCAATAATATTTTTGGTAATCTCTTTCCGTCAAATTTACAGATTTGACAAATTTAAATGAAATGAACCTCGTTTTCTACTAAAGATTCTATCAAGAATTCATGCAAATATACCCTCGACGAACTTTAAATCAATTCAGTATGTGTTGAAACACGGATATCATGTAAGCGTTGATTCAGGTATTGTAAAACACGTTTTCGTTCTTGATGCGATGATTTTAATCAAACTTAACCCAAACTAGTTGACAATAATTAATTTATGACCTGTCAAACAAGTTAGATTTCTTGTGTTTACATTCGTCATATTTTCATATACCAACTTCATTATACAGTCAAACCTGTCTATGAAGACCACTCTAGGTAGCAGATTAAAGTGACTTTTATACACAGGTGACATTATATAAAGGTTTCATCACTATAGATTGCATTACATAGCAAACAAAAAGTGACCTTCATAGACAGGTGACCTTTATGCACGAGTGACCTTAATATGAAGGTTTAATCAGTATGGGCCGCATTCCATAGGAAACAAAAA